CTCTGACAAGAGCATTTTATGAGCGAATGACTACGTGCGGTCGGGAGTACATGGGATAGACCTACGAGCATCATAATCTCTAGAAAATAGGGTAGTATGATGGCCCGGGCCGACTGGCGGAAAGGTGAAAAGCCCGTCAGAAGCATGCTTTTTACCAGGATCCGAGGGAGCAGAAGGTCTTCCCGCCGAATGTTATAAAAACCCCAAGGATCCAAGCAGAAAGGGGTTATCTTTATCTTTCTCAAGCTTTAACACAAAAAACTCATATATTCATAACACTTTATATCAGAGCCGTGGTACTGACTTGATCGTCGGAGTGCTAACTCCGGCATCAGTCCGGCTTTCCTTTCTCTGCAGATTTTCCGCCATAGCAGGAAGGACAGCTCATCAACTACGTTGTTCTGGAACGGATCAATTGGTGAACTGTTGTATTCAATCACTCACCCAGTTAGTTGCACATGCATCTAAGAGGAGTTAAATAATAAAATATTTATAAAAATCTTAGATTAATTGAATTGTTGAAATATTGCCTTAATTCTTTTTTCATATGTCATAAAAATAATTATTTATCATTTCATTAACTATATATATATATATATATATATATATATATATATATATACAAATATTAATTTGTCACACTTTCCACCTAACGACAAATTTTGATCGATTGACACAGACTCACCTGCTCGAATCGTAAGTGGAAAAGAAGCGAAAAAAGTCAAGAAATGATCATTCATCATTAAGTATTTCCATGTGATGCCAATGTCGACATTAGGTGTGCTTCACCAATGTCAACCATTGATTATTTTATGTGTTCAAATGATTTATTAATTATTTTAATTTATATATGTGAATATTTAATAATATAATAAGTAAGATTAATTCAAAAAAGTTTCATTAAATTATTCAATATTATCTTAGATAATTTTATCTTGTCAACCAAACGAGATCTTATAGTATGAATTCTTCCAACCATTATCAATTGGTCTAATAACATGTTTGGCTAGCTTATCATGTCATTTTAAATAGAGCCATGGATAAGTCATTAACAAATTAAGTAAAAGCTATTGATAAGTTAACCATGATATACATCAAAATGGAATATCAAACATATAATTTAGCATTAATCGCGGCCCAAACATCGCTCCACCCTTCATTAAACTTTCCCATATTTCTATTTGATATTTTTAAAAAACATCACCAAGAGGAAAGAAATCATATGCAATTTTCAGTGATTATAAATCCTTTAAATCTGTTTACAGAATCAATTATCTTCCTTTGTCTTCTCTTAATTCTTCTCCTAGTTCATATATCTCGATTTCTCCTTAATTCTTAAATTTTACTTTTTTGCAGATCAAATTACCACGTAACAAAAATCTTGATTTCGCCACCGAGCGTATCATATGTACATTCTACCTGCACAAACTACTGCAACTAAATCTTCAAGATTTTACAAGCCTTTTGTCTACCCTAATTTCCACATAGAGGAATATAATTAGGTTTGTTTCAGACAGACGCCATAGAAGATTGATATATAAATAAAAAGAAAAAAATGATCTTCAAGGGGGGAAAATTAAAAGAAGAAGAAAATAAATTAATATCAAGTTCTTACAGAACCGTACGTAAGAAATATTGGACGCCCAGCCAAGTGCCGGTTTCACCGCCAATCGCATGCATGTTGCATGCAAGATCTAAATATTTAATAATTAATTAATTATATATGCAAACCAACTACATTATAAATAAATGTTATATTAATTCAGAAGCATTAATTGATAGATATATAGTCAATCCACTAGCTACTGAGAGATAGCTTTCCTAATGAGATCCGTACTTATGGAGTACTTATATATGTTATTTTTTAATTTTTTTTTAAAAGGTATCTTAATTTTTTTTTTTTTTTATTAACTTTGTTTTCTCTATCAGGTATATTAAATCAATCAACTAAAACGTAGTCTATTGAGAAATCGAAAATTAAAATTGTATTTGAATAATTTAATTGCCTACTAAAATTAACAAAAATAAGTACAATGTTTCAACAAGCTTCAACAGAAGAATCCAAATCCAAACAATGATAAACAAACGCAATAAATAACAAAAACAACTACAAGGATAACGAAAAACAACTATTTTTTACAAAAAAAAAAAAATTAAATATACAAAAATCGTTATTGATTTAAACAAAAAAAAAATCACTAATTAGAAGAAGAAAAAAAATCTCTCCCACATGAATTTACCAAAGAATTAGGGGTGTAATGCTAATATTTCCCAATAAAAAAACAAAATAGTAAGGATTTTATATATTTATTTTTTTAATTACCGACATTTACCTAAATATTTGGTTTTCGTACCGAAATATTAGGAGGAATGCAATAACATTAAAAAAAAAAAAAATAGATAAAATAGTTTGGTTCATGCCGGAATGCTGGCACTAACACTATAAATACCAGACCATCTCACCCCTTCTAACACCACAATCACTTCTTCTTCTTCCTTCATTCCTTCCGCCATTGTTATATATATATATATATACATACACGATACACAGATTTCAACATATCAATTATGGCTGATATAAACGGAAGCATGAGTGCTAACAAATTCGATCTGCCAGTAGATTCGGAGCACAAAGCGAAAACCCTAAAAATATTGTCGTTCAAGCAGCCCCACATGAGATCCTTCCACTTAGCCTGGATCTCCTTCTTCACCTGCTTCATCTCCACCTTCGCCGCCGCCCCGCTCGTCCCGATCATCCGCGACAACCTCAACCTCACCCGCTCCGACATCGGAAACGCCGGCGTGGCCTCCGTCTCCGGCAGCATCGCCTCCCGACTCATCATGGGCGTCATCTGCGACCTCATCGCCCCCCGCTACGGCTGCGCCTTCCTCAACCTCCTCACCGCCCCCGTCGTCTTCTCCGTCGCCTTCATCTCCTCCGCCCAGGGTTACATTGCTGTCAGATTCATGATCGGATTCTCCCTCGCCACCTTCGTCTCCTGCCAGTACTGGACCAGCGTCATGTTCACCAGCTCCATCATCGGAACTGTCAACGGCGTCGCCGGCGGGTGGGGTGACATGGGCGGCGGCGTCACCCAGCTCTTGATGCCGTTTCTCTTCCACATGATCACCACCTACGGCGGTGCCACCCCTTTCACCGCCTGGAGGATCGCCTTCTTCATACCTGGTTGGCTGCATATTATTATCGGAGTTATGGTGTTGGCTCTCGGCCAAGATTTTCCAGATGGCAACCTCGGAGCCCTCCAGAAGAGTGGTGACGTGGCAAAGGACAAGTTCTCTAAGGTAATTAATTACTCTTAATTAAGACTTAATATCTCTCGTAGTATTAATTAATTACTGATTAAGTTTAAGGGTGCAAATTTAGACCGAATGGTCTGTTTTAATAGAAAAATTAGATGTCATATAGGATTATTGACAGGTGGATAGTTTAAATAAAAATATAATTAGAATTCTAATAATTGGAAAAAAAAAAACTCACCAGAACACATGTCAAAAAATTAGTGGAATTCGATTTATATTAAATATCGGGTTGATCCGCTTAGAATTTAATCTCTAAGTTTAATGACGATTATTATGTAATTACAGGTGTTGAAGCATGCTGTCACGAACTATAGAACATGGGTTTTCTTCCTACTGTACGGATTCTCCATGGGAGTTGAGCTCTGCATAAACAACGTTATCGCTGAATATTTCTACGACAGGTTCAACCTGAAGCTACACACCGCCGGAATCATCGCCGCCACCTTCGGCATGGCCAACTTCGCCGCCCGCCCACTCGGCGGCTACGCATCCGACGTGGCATCCCGGAAATTCGGAATGAGGGGCCGACTTTGGGTACTCTGGATAGTCCAAACCCTAGGAGGAGTCTTCTGCATCTGGCTCGGCCGAGCCAACTCACTCTCTGTAGCGATCGCCTCCATGATTCTCTTCTCCATAGGGGCCCAGGCCGCCTGTGGGGCCACCTACGGAATCATCCCTTTCGTTTCTAGAAGGTCTTTGGGTCTGATATCCGGACTCACCGGAGCCGGTGGAAACTTCGGCGGCGGATTGACCCAGCTCATATTCTTCTCCACCACCAGATTCTCGACGGCGAGTGGGCTCACTTATATGGGTGCCATGGCCGTTGCGTGTACTATTCCGGTGGCGGTTGTTCACTTCCCGCAGTGGGGGAGCATGTTTCTGCCGCCGTCGAAGAAGGGCGGCGGTTGCACGGAGGAGAGTTACTACTCGTCGGAGTGGAATGAGGAAGAGAGGATGAAGGGTTTGCACCACGGCAGCGTTAAGTTTGCCGAGAACAGCAGATCGGAGCGTGGGAGCAGACATGAGATTGCCGCCGCCGTCACTCCGCCGGGGTATAACTCAACCCCGGCCCATGTTGTTTAATTAATTAGTATAAAAATATATATTTTGTATTGTACTGAATTAAATATTGAGCCTTGTATTAATTATTATTATAGTGTATATGCATAAAGAATAACTATTATATATAGTTTTATGAATAATTAATGTGTATCTTTTTCTACTTATATATATATTATTTATAATATGATATTAAATTATGATGAAATTAAAGATTATATACACGAATTGAAGTATTTTTATTTTTCTTTCTTAGATGACTTGTCCACTATCATTGATCATGTTACAAATTGGTATTTATATGATTTAATTTTCAAACTCATTTCCATGTTTCGTACTTTAGGAAGGTTGAAATTGGAATAGTTTATTCAGCCTCATATGTAGACCAAATATATTTGCTTCTAAAAAACAAAATAGAAAATAAATCATAAATCATATTCATTAATTATGTGCACGAAAAAGTATATCAAATATTGCTATATGTTTGGAAAATGGTTTTAGTAAACACATCAAAGAATTTTTAGGCATCTCTGAGGGTCTATGTAGGTAGAACCGAAATTTCAACTTATTAACGTTTCCGCGTTTCAAACACGCCTGCCCGATACAAAAGGACACCTACCGAACACCTTATATATATATATGGATGGGCCATTTTACAATTTTTTAAATATTTGTGTTCGTTTACGGACTATTTGCATAAAATTTAATTATCAATTACAAATTGAAAGTTCATGATAGTATTTATTTTAAATATATTTGCATCAAAATATGTAAAAATAAATTATATATTAATACAAACTTATATATGTTTAATAGTATATTTACAATATACTCATATGCTTCTAATATTTATATGTTTTCCTCAAGTTCTTGCATCTCTATTTCTGGGACATGTTGTTTTCACGTGTCCGTTTTCCCGCAGATCAAGTTAAAACTAATTTATTTTTTTAATCAATTAAGCATATTTAAAATTTTGAATTATGAGAGAAAAAAAAAGGAAAAGAAAATTGAAATTAAAACCCTTTGAAATTGAAAAGAAAAAAGTACTTATCGATGATGCTTAATTCAAAGTGTGGAGGAGGTCCTTATCGGCAATTAATTTAGGTAGGAGTGGTTGCCTGTCCGTACCTATGACAAATAAGACGTCCGTACTTATTAATAAATAAATGTATATTATTAAAATAATTATTAGTCAACTCTAGTTTTGACTTTCATGCATAAATACAAATCTCACGATCTTTCCTCTCACTTTCATCACGGCAACCTACGGTTCAAAATTTTCTTCCTTAATATTTTTTTAATTGTTTTTTTTGGACAATATTTTTTTATTTTAATTTCTTAAAATTCCAATATTAAAATTTCTAGTTGTGTTTTCCGAAATTGGAATTATACAGGGGATTCTATGTTAATTCAATCGGACTGTATACCTCTTTCGAGTTATGATTAGGTAATATTTTCGATTTTTAAATCTTTGACATAGTTCTAATAATCAAGGATTTTTGACCCGATGAAATACATCAGTTGATTTTGCAACATAAATCTATATCAATAACTGCCCATTAAACATACATATACACGTGAATATGTAATCAATTGTAGATAATAATCCAATAAATTCACCTGTCTTCTACGCACTAATATACCGAATCGGGGTGTTAATTTTTATGTTACT